TTGGCTAATTTTCAAATATGTATCAAATAACCCGATAAAAATACATTTTTAGATTCTCGTGAGTAGTTATCTTTACATTAATTGATAATACTTTCCTTAGAATAATTACGAGATTCAATCATTGTAATTTGTGCACTTTGCTAATTAATACTTTTTTCAATCTGGTTTTATTCCCAACTACACGAATTTTACCAGAATCGAAATTGAAATTTTTTTCCCAACTGAAAACTGTTGTTCCTTGTCTTGTGCCCTTCCTCAATATATTTCTGCAATATTTGGAGAAATTCATAGAAAAGTATATATCAATCCTTTTCAACTCACATCTATTGTACTTTCAATTGTACACTCGTGATTCGTCATACGTATATTCTGAATACGTGCACTAACGTTCCTGTTATACATATATCTAAGAACGCCATCAAAATGTTGTGGAATAGAGAAAGTCGATGTGAAATCAATGAAAAAGAAAGTCACAATGAATGCGAATTCATTTCTGGTTTGGATGATTCAGGAAAGTTAGATAGTGATTGGTCAAATAGCGAAGATGATCTCGATGAAAATGTTGTCGATGAACCCATTGTTCAATATCCTCGATCATACTCTGAAGTATATGATGATTATAATAATACTCCAAAAAAATTAGAAGTGCATTGGTATGTTTGTATAGAAGGAGAGAAGATGTACGATCATTCTTTTCAAAATAAGATTTTCTTGTCCGAATCGGACAAAAGTAATATCTCCAATAGTTCTTCTGCAGAGATATTCGAGTTCTTTTTCTCTACAGAATTAAAAAATTACCTTATAGAGGCTACAAAAGCTAATAGATATGAATTATCCCTAACAGATTTGAATATTTTTCTAGGTATAATCATTTTCTCAACATATAACAGAAGATCAGCTCAACGAGATTATTGGTCAACAGATCTATATTTGAGAAGTGACATAGTTTGCAACTCTATGAGTCGTAACAAGTTCGAAAAAATAAAAAATTTTTTAAATATTCAAAGTTAGAAGACAAAAATGAATCGGATGGAGTTTGGTGTGTTCGAGCAATAACAGAAATATTCAACAGAAATATCAAGTAGTTTGGCTATTTTTGCACTGCATTTGTCACCGACGAAATCATGATAAAGTATTTTGGTAAATCTGTTCTAAAACAATTTATAAGGGGAAAGCCAATTCGATTTGGTAGAAAGCTTTGGGCTCTATGTAGCAGTTTTGGTTACCTTTTCCATTTTAACATCTACTGCGGAAAAAATGAAAAAAGTTACATATTAGCAAATTGTGTTTAAGGTAGCAAAGTTGTTATTCAAATGTTGGAAAATATGCTAAAATCTTTATCTGCTCGTAAGCTGAGTCACAATCATATTTATTTTGACAATCTTTGCTGTAGCTCATATTTGCTATTTTATCTAGAGAAAATTGAGCTTCAAGCCACAGGAACAGTTAGAGAAAATCGGGTAAACTCAAAAAAGTCTTGGATAAAGAGCATCTAAAGGGATTTATGTTGTACAACATGACCAGAGTAGTAGAATGAATTTTATTACTGTACAAGATTCAAAGCCTGTTTCAATTCTGTCCACTACAGCAGGTGTTAACCCCCTTGGTGTTGTGAAAAGATACAGTAAAACTCAAAAACAGAAAATTCACTGGCTAAAATCAAAACCCCTTGGTCTCTGTCTGACACAAGACCGATTGCTCAGCTTTCTAAGCCCTCCAAGGTCATGGAGCGTTTGCTTCATAGACAATTTTCGGCTTACTTGGAGGGCAGTAGTTTTCTGGATACAAAACAAACTGGTTTCCGCCGTGGTCACACGACTAACACCGCCTTGATCGGCCTCCTGGATGACGTCAGGCATGCTGTTGAGTTGCGTCAGGTAACCATCCTTGTCCTATTCGACTTCTCGAAGGCCTTCGACAGCATCCCTCATTTGTTCATTTCCAGAATTAAAGCCTGCAATGTGGCGTATTTAACCGATCAATGACCTTCCTAAAGTATTTCATTTCCATCGACACATGATTTATGCTGATGATACGCAAATCTACTATCACTGCTTTCCCTCGGAAATCCTTGAAGGCCTCTCCAAGATTCAGCTAGATGCTCAGGCGATTGCGGACTGGGCCAGAGAAAGTGACCTGCAACTCAATCTGGCCTAAACGAAAGCAATTATCCTCGGCATCGAATCATACATTTCTCTCTTAAATCCTGATCTACTCCCTCAAATCACCATAGATAGCACTAACATTCCTTTCTTCTCCTCAGTTACAAGTATTGTCCTCTCCATTTCATCTACTCTGAACTATAAAATTCACATTTCAAATACGCTATTTCATAGACTTACATTACTTAAGGTTTACACAAACCTAAATTGTCTCAAATTTTATAGAAAATCCCCAGCCATCTCCACCAGAAAATATCTCATTCAAACCCTCATTTTTCCTCATTATACCTATGCTTCCCTGACATTTCACAAATTAGATAAAATCAGATCAGATGTCCTCCAGATTGCACATAACGCTTGTGTTCGCTTCATAATCGGTTATATCCTGTTCATTCCTTCAAGCAATATTGAGTCTCATATATCCTTCCACAGATTGTAGCTAGTTTAGCTGTCCCTTGAATCACTTAGACACATCACATTTATCTTTGGCACATACAAAACAGTCTGTACATCGCATCCAACATATCTTACAACGCATCTTTGCTCCCCAAACCAGCTCCACTTAAAGAGATCGATCTGCAATCCTCCTATGGCTTTCTCTTACTCAGCACCACGAACGGAGGCTTGGCTTCACTCTGTGTCAATATATGGTATGTTCCTCTTTAATCAGCTCTCCATCACTGATTTTTACATCCTCACATACAGTGAACTCAAGACATGGTTGTTTTCATTATTCATGATCCTGGAACAACAACTTTTGCGACGCAGAGTTGAACCCGAGTCCCTAACCAATACCTCTGCATTACTAAAGCTACTAACAGCCTCACTTTCATTTAATGTGTCAACTTTCACTTCCTCCTCTAATTATCTCCAAACCCTCGGCAACTACCTCTCCTTCAATTTCCCTCCATTTAGCAAATTCTCCTAAACTTTATCTCCCATTCTTTTAATTCTACATTACACTCGATCCTTCTCTACACTCTCTAGATCAAATTCTTCTTACCTATCCTTTGTCAACTATTATCTGCTTTATTTTTTACCTTGGTAAGCTTTCTGCTCATCTTTATGTCTTACTTATTACTCATCCTCCCTTACAGGACGATACTTATGAATTCCATCTAGCTTTCTACTGTTTCTGTCTCTATTATGTAAATAATGTACATATTAGGCTACTTATTATTATCAAATAAGCTTTTATCTTAATGTTAATTCTTGTACTTTTGTGAATTTTATCTCTTTTGAATTGCGTATCTTATTGCGAAACATTGATATTTTTATTTCTTCAACTGCTTAAATCAATTACTGTTACTTGTGCTATCGTGCGAAACTTTTGTTTATTTTATTTTTGTTAACTTTGTTTATTTCGATAATTTTATTTGTTTTATTTTGCTCGTATCTTTTTGTAATTACCTACGGGGTTCTACCTCAAGGTTAATAAAGTTAAATCAATCAATCTCACTCAACCTTTTATCTTTCTTTTACTCTTTCTGGCCTTTCTACTTACTCAGTAGTAGCTTCTCGCTCTCCAGAACTACGGCCACTGAAGCAAATAAGAGTATCAGGTGAATGTACAAGTAAATACATGCGCAATTTAATCCCATTGCTGTAACCAATTATAAAACAAGACATAAAGAATTTCACTATAAAGACACGTCAGAAATTTTATTTATGCATTAATAAAAAAATAAAATAAATAAATAGGCTTTGTAGATTTAGTCATTTTGTAAGGAGGTTGTAGATAGATGTAAATGTGATGTAAAATAAATGAAATGAAGAAGTATTGTTATCGCTACTTCAAGAAATGAATTCATTTTAAACGCTGCAAAGGTACATTAGATATCTGCACGCATCTGTCTTAGTTTTCTGTAATCATGAAAAGCATGTAATCGACGTACCAGCACTTTTTAGGCGGCTGAAAGAAAAAAATTTTGACACGCATCATGATTATGTATATAAAAATATACATAGTGCATTCCATATTAATTCAACCAAAAGACTTCGTTAAAATTCAAAGCATTGAAATTTATCGTGCAACGGCTTAACCAGTATTCTCGAAATATGACTGGTAGTTTTGATCTTCAATTGTGAGAGACTCCACAGAACTCCGAAAATTTGGACCCTACTACTTGACTTTTCAAGCTTTTCTGCACCAAACTTTTATTTCGATAGATATTGATTTTAAAATTAGTATCTGGTAATAAATGTATTTATGGTTATAGCCAAGATCGAATTTGTCAATTGTCGATCATTTTGATCCGCCATATTGGATCCGATTTTGAATTTCCAAAATCTGATTATGGACTCGTATTCAGCGACCTCGAAAACCTTCAAGTATCAATTTTGGTGTCAATATCTATCGATATTAATATAAAAGTTTGGTGCATAAGAGATTAAAATTAAATCGAGTGATGTAGTCCGATTTTTATGCGTTCTGTGAGGTCTCTCAAGATCGGAAACCAAAAACACTAGTCATATTTCGAAAGTACTGATTAAAGCAAACAGTTTAAGATACCGCGCGATAAATTTGGATTCTCTGAATTTTGGTCAAGCCTTTTGGTCAAATTGACGTGGAATGTGCCACATTTATAAATTATAAGTATATATCACTTTTTGTGGGAGAGAGGTCACTATATATTAACTATAGAAAAGATTGACCAGATTAAATGAACTAATTACAAAAGCATACCATGTATTTGATATCATGAAACGTCCTTGATTCTTCTAAAATAAAACTTAAATAAAATGTTTCCGGAGTACAAAAATTTTTCCGCTTTATTGCGGAAGCATATGTTTAAAATTTTATGTTTTTATCTTATTAATAATATATTTTTTTTATAGGGCAACGATTAATACTTTCCTGGTATTAGATCTTATAGGCTGCTGCTGTGTTTACGTAGTTTTTGTCTCGGAGAACATAAAACATGTCGCCGACAGTCATATAACAGAAATATACGGAAAAGACGATCTTTGGGATGTCAGAATTTATATGGCTATATTACTTCCATTTTTAATAGCTTTCTCTTTGGTAAAAAATCTTAAGTTCTTGGCACCGTTCTCTATGGTAGCTAATTGTCTGATTGCTGCTGGTCTAGGTATAACATTTTATTACATTTTTACGGATCTACCAGAACTAAAAGATGCAAAAAAAATTACATCTATAGGAGAAATGCCACTCTTTTTTGGTATTGCTATTTTCGCTTTGGAGGGTATCGGCGTAGTAAGTAACATTTAATTTTATTACTCATATACTTATATCTTTCTATTGATTTTTATACAAATATTTAAGTAAACTCTCTATGTAATTCCTACATGGTTCTCAAGTCATTCTAAATCGATAGAATACGAGGTCTGTCCGGAATGTACCGGGCCTACCTTTATATTTTCGTGCTAGCATTATTCTTTATCATCTGGAGGGTGGCATCCTTCAAAGTAATCCCCACTTGATTGAATAACACGGTTCCATCGATGTTTCCACTTTTTAAAACAGTTCTGGAACTCACTTTTAGGGATAGCTTTAAGTACACACGTCGCATTGTTTTCAACCATTGTTTTGTCATCGAATCGGTGTCCTTTGAGTGGTCTTTTTAGTTTTGGAAACAGCCAAAAGTCACAAGGGGCTATGTTTGGACTGTATAGAGGTAGTCGAAGCAATGCGATATTATGTTTGCTCAAAAACTGGTGCACAAGATTGAATGAATGCGCTGGCACATTATCGTGATGGAGAAGCCAGTCACCACTTTCCCAAAAGTGCGGCCGTTTTCTTCTTACTGCATCAAGCAAACGTTTCAAAATTTAAACGTAGTATTCTTTATTGATTGTCTGACCTGTTGATGCATATTCGTGATGTACAACACCTTCACAATCGAAAAAAACAATCAACATTGACTTAACGTTGCTCCGACTTTGACGTGCTTTTTTTGGTCTTGGCGATTCAGAATGCTTCCACTGTGAAGATTGTTGTTTTGTTTCAGGATCATAACCATAAACCCATGATTCATCACCTGTAATAACATTTCTAAGCGCATTATCATCATTATTAACCATTTCCAGATTGTCCAGAGCGATTTCTAAGCAAATGTTCTTCTGCTCTGCTGTGAGCAATTTTGGGATGAATTTCGCACACACGCGTTTCATTCCTGAATTTTCGGTTAAAATTTCTGAAATGATAGTTTTTGGTATCCAAAGGTCTTCTTCTAGTTCTCGCACAGTCATACGACGATCTTGTTCGATTACAAGTCGCACCCGCTCAATATTATGTGCGGTTTTTGTCGTCGAAGGTCGGCCGGAACGAGAATCACTATCGACAGAAGTGCGACCATCCTTGAACCGTTTATACCACTCTTTTATTCGTGTTTTGCTCATACACTCGCTTCCGAAGGCCTTTTGCATCATTTCAATAGTTTCCGAACTCGTTTTTCCGAGTTGAAAGCAAAATTTGATGCAAATTCGTTGATCTTGTTTTTCAGTCATTTTTGACAATATCAAAATCCGACGAACGCGAAAAAGGCACTGTAAACAAAGACACGCTGCGTATGAACTATACGTCCGGCAGGTATCAGTAAGTAACCAATAGATTCGTGAGGCTTTACTTTTGACGTTTTTATCCGGTAGAGGTTGCTCGAATACTATGGCGCGAAGATATAAACGTAGGCCCGATACTTTCCGGACAGACCTCGTACCTTTTTATACTTGAAGTATTGTCATTCATTGATAACTTTTCATTGCGTTCGAACTTTTTTATATGAAAATAATTAGAACTTCAGAGAACATTGGTGTTTGTAGAACCCGTTAGAATTTTATATTTTAATTTTAAAATACATTACAGTAACTAGGTAAGTTAGTCCAATGGATCTTGGAAAGGTAAATATGTGATCATATTTTATGTGTAAAAGTACACCTCTCCATGAATTTTCAGCCTTAACACGTGTGTGAAAGTACATAATCTTGAATATCAATTTTTTTTAAATTAAATTATAAAATTGTAAAGTCCAAAAAATCTATTTTATGCAATTTTGGCGCAAATTTGGAACGATTTACAGTCATTGAAATCTATAAAAAATTCAATATCCCAGAAACAAAGACAGACATATCTCTGGAAAAAATAAATTTTTCATATTTTCAATCTAAAAATCCGTAAAAAAAATTTCAGATTATAAAAAGGTAGAAAACAGTTAAATAGACATAAAACAGCTTAATACGCTTAATTCGATAAAACTGACATATCGTCAAATAATACATAGAACTTATAAATTACATATTTCACTTTCTTTCTATGCTAAGAATATGGTATGGTCGTATACACGAAAAAGTATCGCTTGCAACGGTAGTCGATTTAATTAATCGAACCGTTCGCGATTCTGCTTCTCGCGCGTTAGTTCTAACAATCAAGAGAGAGAGAGGGGGCGCGCGATCTTTTGAATAAGTAGTTACGCCTCAGCTGTGAACACGAATTTACCGCCGATTTGTGTCGCACTTTGTTTTCGCCGAATAATTAGTTTTCTGGGACAATTTCGTGCGTGAGTGCAACGGTATTCCCGAGGTAAAAAGTAGCGGTGCAGAAGCAGCAGATTACAGCAGATAAAGGCCGATCGAGGCAGCGCAGCTGATTAATCGAGGGGCAGCGGCAGTTGATAATTTTGCATCAACAATTACGGCTGATCACCGTAATTGCACTACATGGTAGGTGCACCTTCCGTCATTATATGCGATACAAAATGCATTCGGTATTTTGTCTAATCATGTTAGCGTTATTTTTTGTATATTCGCGTCGAGCATTAGTTCGCGGTAGAATTCGATCCTTCTCTCTCTCTCTCTCTCTCTCTCTATCTCACCGAATATAACTAATTGTAAAATCCTATTCGCATGCGTTAGTCTTTCGGCCCTACAAAGACTGTAGTGATTTTTATTAATTAAAGTCTGTTAAATTTATTCGCTGTTTTCGTCATTTAATTTTCATAGTAGCTTAAGTAATTGAAAAAGGCTTAGGTTTTAATCTGATTACCTCTAGGGGATTAAGAAGATTAGGAGTAAAGTCGCTCACACTTAAAACTCATCGAGTATCACAAGACACGTGACTTAAGGTGAGTTCAACTCCGTTTGATAGAAGACAACTAGGATAAATCATCTGACGTCAAGGCGAATACACGTACTATCATACGTGTTTAACGGAGCGGCGGTTTGCTCTGCATCGTGGGAGTTAGTTCTTAAATAAATTTCCCATATTTCAGATAACCTCTCCCCGTTACATGGCGCCCAACTGGTATTAAGGCGCTTAGGAAGGTTTGAGCGGGTTGTAGCGATCGTGAGCGGTACGCCCTCTGCTGGGGAAAAACGAAATCACTTCGAACTTTTTACTTAAAAATTGTTGAGTTGATTGTAAAAAGGGCCGAAAGCGATAATTATTAGTAGGTCGAAGTGATTTCAGGTCGTTCGGAGTAATCAGGTGTTAACCTATTTCAGCCATAGTTTGGTGGATAAAGGGGGGTTGGAAGCACCTGATCGACGATAAAGGCAGAGAGTGCGACCCAAGCGTGCAATCCAGAAAATATTAGCTAGGCGGAGCAAGCAAACAGCAGGCTCCGACCTTAGGTAGGATATTTTTATAATATTAATAGATAGTTTGCGGAGACTGTACGCGCTCATAATCTCGCGAGTTTGTGCCTTATAAAAAGGAGGCATTAAGGGTAGTTACACTAAATAGTGTATACCCCGCTCATGCCTTGGGTGATAGGAGGCGGTAGTGGTCAATTAGGTCGATAATTTGGAACCTCGACCGCATCCTACACCCGTGCGGAGGCAAGATGGCTCTGTTGTCAGCTCAAATCGACAATTGGGCATTAGAGCTGACCTCCGCACAGCGCGAACGCTACTTGGCGGATTTAGAGCTGCGCAAGGATGGAAGTGTCATCCAGCAGGCGGCTAGGCTTGGAAGATGGTTGCTAGAAGAGTACACCGTCACAGATTTCGAAGAGACCACACGCAGTAAAGAGGTGGCGGGGCTCAGGAGGCGCACCCGACAAGCGTGGCTCGACACGGTCTGTGATGAGTTGGAAAACCACAGCGCAGACGAGAACAGCGACCATCCCATGAGAATTATCAATAGGGGGGAGGGGGAATATCCTTGACAGATATGTCAAGGACATTCGCCTGCCCGGATGAGGACTCTGACGGTGAAGCCAGCCGCCAAGAAGAGGATGAGCTCATCCAGAAGGCCCTACGCACCCAGGAGCAGGGGCAGGGGGAGAGGAGACGGAGCAATCCAGATCTCAGGTCTTAGGAATCCTGCACCCGGAAGGAACCTCAGGAAGAATTATCCTTGAGTGAAGCCTTCCGGGAAATAGAGTACCTGAAGGAGGGAGTCGACCGTAACCGCAAGTTGGTAGATCGAATCTTAGAAAACCTTGAGACTCTGCAGGGAATACAGGTGTGTGTGGAGCGCGATGCACAGGATATGCGCCTACGAATACGAGAGCTGGAAGACGCAATGCATGAGATGGCCAATGCTAGCCGTTCTTCTCAGCGCGACTCGGTTCAACCGCGCGCCGGACGTAATGTGGACTTTCAGGACACATTCACCTGTCACTACGATTCTGGGATTCCGGGAAGCATACCGGCTCCTCTAAGACCACTACCCAGGAAAAGGGACGTCACCCCACCGGAAGCCCTCTAAAGAAGAGGAGGTGAATAGGATCTAGAGGAATACGGGTGATCCGCACCTGTTCGACAGAGGAGTCGAAGCGGATCATCTTGCACCGGTCCTCAACTATCCTCAGGGCTCTCCACAACCCAAGATGTTAAGAAAATTGTCCGCGAATGAAAATTGAGGTTTGCGGGCAGTAGGGCACAGAGCGTAGATACGTTTCTTTCAAGGTTGGAAGATCTGCGCGTGGGCGCAGGGAAAACTGATGAAGAAGTGCTTTGTTCCGTATCAGAGATCCTTGAAGGTAACGCGAGGATCTGGTACGATAACAACAAGTACCAGTGGCTTAGTTATGCAGAGTTCGTCGCTGACGCCCGGGATTAGTTCGGCACTAGTACGCAAGAGCAACAAAGGCTGTTGCAGGAAGCCCAGAACCGGTTCCAGGGTGAGGACGAACTAGTGCGAGACTAGTGCAACACCAATGCCCTTGGAGAGGTTATTAGACCTACTCCATGCAAACCTCCTTTCAAACATCCAAATTCAGCTGCATCGGAGCGAGATGAAATCGATACGCGAAT